ACTCCTGAAGGTATTAGTCCAAACTCAGAAAAGATTCGTGTTGTGCGGGAATTCCCTACTCCAACTAATCTCAAGGAACTCAGGAATTTCTTAGGTCTCGCTAATCATTACAGGCGCTTTATCAAAGGTTTTTCTCACATAGCCAATCCCCGGAATGCATTAACTAAGAAGGGCTTTTCTTTCAATTGGACAGAAGAGTGTGCAGTTGCTCTCGACAAGTTGAAACGTGCTTTAGTGTCTGCTCCTATTTTAGCTTATCCTAACTTTAAAGAGCCTTTTCTACTGTTTGTCGATGCTAGTTGTACAGGAATCGGATTTACCTTAACTCAAGTCCAGAATGGTAAAGAAGTAGCGATTGCTTATAACGGTCGCAGTTTGAATAGTGCAGAGCGCTACTATAGCACAACTGAGAGGGAGGTGCTGGCGTTAATAGAAGGGATTAAGAAATATCAGCCCTACCTGGAGAACCGAAAATTTACAGTTGTTACTGATCACAGTTCGTTACGTTGGCTAATGAACGTTAAGGATGCCTCTGGTCGTCTTGCAAGATGGGCCCTACTTTTACAACAGTATAATTTTGAGATTATCCATAGCCCTGGTAAGATGCATGGCAATGCGAATAGTTTGTCCAGACGTCCTTATGACACAAAGCTAAGGAATGCAATTCACTCCAGAGAGAGGAGCCACAGATAGCAAAAGTACGAGAATTGCAAAGGCATAATTTTGATCTTACTGAGATTATTGATTACCTGGAAAATGATTTTTTGCCATTAGACGATAGGGCGGCGCGCAAGCTTTTACTTGTGAGTGATACTTCTTACATCGGGCGTGATGGTTTACCTTACCATTTAGGTAACAATCGAAAGCGCAATTCTTGGGACTCGTTTCTTCCACTGGTTTTACCTCCAGCGTTGAGATTTGAAATTCTTTCAAACATGCATGACCACATTTCCGGTGCGCCTTTTGGAGTCCATAAGACTTATAATAAGGTTAAGCAACGATATTGGTGGAAAGGAATGTACAAAGATGTTGAACATTGGTTAAGTCTTGCACTGAGTGTTCCATGAGCAAATCTCTGAGAAATACCAAAAAGGCAACTTTACTTCCAATTCCAGTGGAGAATGCTTTTGATACGGTGACTGTTGATGTGTTAGGGCCTTTCCCACCTTCTAACAAAGGAAATAGGTACGTTGTCGTTTTTAGTGATTATCTTACTCAATGGTTTGAAGTATTTCCTGTTCCGAGCGTTCACGCAACTGTAGTTTCTCGCCTTTTAGTGAATGAGATCATCGCTAGACATGGTGCACCTAGAGTTTTGTTATCTGATAGAGGAAAAAATTTATAGTCTAAAGTGGTCGCAGATGTTTGTAAAGTTTTCGAATCCACAAGGTTAATGCTTCTAGTTATCACCCGCAGACTGATGGCTTAGTTGAAAGATTTAACTCTACTTTATGTCAGTCACTTTCGATGTATGTTGCAAAGAATCAAAAGGATTGGGATGATTTTATACCGCTAGTTTTGTTTGAGAATGTTTAGAAATACATTTGATAATAAAAATTAACGGTAAAAAACTACGATGTTTCGAAGTCTGCATGACCTCATTATCAAGTAAAATGTTAAAACTGATGTAAAATTGTAGCTCAGAGATTATATACAAATAAAATGTGATAACTTCATTAGAATAATGAGCGTTCATTGTTATTGGTGTTTAGCATGTCAGATCGTGCAGTATATGTTTAAATAAATACTTTTGCACGTATTAAGTCAGACTGCGTGTTTAGCTTTGGTTTTTGTTCGCGAATGAATAGCATTTCGTGAATTAGGCAGTCCATTTTTCCGCGGCATTTCTTGAGAACGGAAAACATTTCCTCTAGGCTAGTGGACGCTACACTGTGGGCTTCTTTCAGATGCTTGCCAATGACAGAGGCTTTATGTTCTTCTATGCGTTGATGAAGATGGCGTGTGGTATAACCGATATAATCCGCATCGCACGAATCACATTTAAAAGTGTAAACAACGCATTGGTGGTTAATTAAAGCGGGCTTCTCTTCTTGTATCTTGAGCTTTCCCTCGATCTTACGACTCGTGAAAACTGGTTGTAGGTCAGTTCCGATTTTCCGGCCAAGATCTTTCAGCTGATGTCTTACTGTGTCGGCCGATTTTTGGTCTTTAAATGGTAAAGTTATTCTGACAGGTTTTTGTGTAGCCGCGTCAAGTTCAGTTGGGGTTTCGTGACGGCTTTGGATCGTAGAACTCGTGTACCAGGCGATAGCTGAGTTGATGAGTTTCACTGGGTACTTAAGCTTAGTAAACATCCGCTTGAGATGCTGGCATTCCTTCGTAAAAGATTCTTTCGTTGATGACAGGCGGTAAGCTCGGTTCAGCATTGTATTCAGCAGAGATCTTTTGTAACGCTGATCGACATGGCTCTGGTAATGTAAGAGCAGTCCTGTATCAGTTGGTTTATGATATACGCTTGTTGTCAGGTGGCAACCGTTTTTCTCAATCATCATACCGAGGAATGGAAGCTTGTTGTTTTCAGCAATTTCCATTGTGAACTGTATGGCAGGATGGCATTCGTTCAATGTTGAAAGGAAAGCTGTTGCGGCTTGAATATTTGGCATCGTGGCTAATGTGTCATCGACGTACCTTTTGTAGAAACTTGGTAACTTGTTGTTGCGATCCAGTTGTTCTTCAATGGAGCACAGGAAAACGTTTGCCATAAGGGGTCCCAGGGGCGAGCCCATGGCCACACCGTCCACCTGCTCATAAAGTTGACCGTCGAACTGAAATAGCTGATCTTTGGTTGCTATTCTTAAAAGTTCGGTAAGACCTGTCTTTGTGAGGTTGAGACCATGCGTTTCATTAAACCAGTTGTTTTTAAAGGCTTTTTCAGCGATGATCTCAATAGTCTCGTCGAGTGGCACGTTGGTAAATAAAGCACATACGTCATACGACACGAGAATGTCATTCGGGTTGAGTGGTGTTTCCCTTATCACTTCGGCGAAGGAGAAGATATCGCAGATAGTGTGCTGATTTAATGAAAGGGGCTTAAGCTTCTCTTCAAGCCACTTGGCCAATAAAACGCATGGTCTCAACCTCACAAAGACAGGTCTTACCGAACTTTTAAGAATAGCAACCAAAGATCAGCTATTTCAGTTCGACGGTCAACTTTATGAGCAGGTGGACGGTGTGGCCATGGGCTCGCCCCTGGGACCCCTTATGGCAAACGTTTTCCTGTGCTCCATTGAAGAACAACTGGATCGCAACAACAAGTTACCAAGTTTCTACAAAAGGTACGTCGATGACACATTAGCCACGATGCCAAATATTCAAGCCGCAACAGCTTTCCTTTCAACATTGAACGAATGCCATCCTGCCATACAGTTCACAATGGAAATTGCTGAAAACAACAAGCTTCCATTCCTCGGTATGATGATTGAGAAAAACGGTTGCCACCTGACAACAAGCGTATATCATAAACCAACTGATACAGGACTGCTCTTACATTACCAGAGCCATGTCGATCAGCGTTACAAAAGATCTCTGCTGAATACAATGCTGAACCGAGCTTACCGCCTGTCATCAACGAAAGAATCTTTTACGAAGGAATGCCAGCATCTCAAGCGGATGTTTACTAAGCTTAAGTACCCAGTGAAACTCATCAACTCAGCTATCGCCTGGTACACGAGTTCTACGATCCAAAGCCGTCACGAAACCCCAACTGAACTTGACGCGGCTACACAAAAACCTGTCAGAATAACTTTACCATTTAAAGACCAAAAATCGGCCGACACAGTAAGACATCAGCTGAAAGATCTTGGCCGGAAAATCGGAACTGACCTACAACCAGTTTTCACGAGTCGTAAGATCGAGGGAAAGCTCAAGATACAAGAAGAGAAGCCCGCTTTAATTAACCACCAATGCGTTGTTTACACTTTTAAATGTGATTCGTGCGATGCGGATTATATCGGTTATACCACACGCCATCTTCATCAACGCATAGAAGAACATAAAGCCTCTGTCATTGGCAAGCATCTGA